GCTACCTGGTCCTGGAGGGAGGGAGGAGAGAAAGAAAGGGACTCATTACTCACAAGGGTTCAGCCCTGGAGAGTGTGTGCCCCAAGGCAGAGTTCTCCCCCATCCCTTTTATTCCTGCCCATCATGGCTCTGGCACCTTCCACTGAACAATCTCAAATGTCTCCATCATGAACCTGACCCCCACCCTTAGCTCCGCAGAATGCTAGGCTGGAAGTTGACATGAGGGAGGGCAGAGGTACCTTTCTGGTGGTCCAGGAAACGTGTGGGGATCAGGGAGGAGCCAGGGATGCAGATAAAGGGAGTGAAGAGTTAGGCTGGGGAATTAGAGGAGAGGATGTGATGGAAACCCTTTCTTATTCATTACTGGCCTCACTTTCATCCCCAGATGCCCCTACTTTGCTGCACTTTGTGGACCAGCATCGGGAGGACCTGGTGACTCGAGTGACATCGGTGGACGCAGTCCTAGACAAGCTGCATGGACAGGTGCTGAGCGAGGAGCAGTATGAGAGGGTGCGGGCTGAGCCCACCAATACAGAAAAGATGAGGACACTGTTCAGTTTCAGCAAGTCCTGGGACTGGGCCTGCAAAGATCAACTCTACCGAGCCCTGAAGAAGACCCATCCTCACCTAATTGTGGATCTCTGGGAGAAGTGACACAGTGGAGAGGAGACTAGGGGAGCTAATGACAAGCTCGGCAGCTGACGTCTGAACACCTGCTTATGAGTCCTGGCTCTGACTGTCCAGGCTTTGGGTCTAGGTTTCTTCATGTCTAAACACATTGCCATCGCCCAGCCAGAGAGGCTCAGCTGGTTGAGTGTTGTCCTGTGCACCAAAGGGTTCCTGGTTCAATTTCTGGTCAGAGTACATACCTGGGTTTTGGGTTCAGAAGGCAACTGATTGATGTTTCCTTTCTCTCTCTCTCTCTCCCTCACTCCCTCCTTCCCTCCCTCCCTCCCTTCCTTCCTCCTTCTCCCTCTCTCTAAGCATGTCCTCAGTGAGTATAAATATATAAACAAACACACACATTGCCATTTGAGTTGCCTTCTTGTCCTAAAGTTATAGAGCATTGATGATACCTTTGCTGGGCATTATATGTCCATGTTCAGTGATGCCACACGGGCTCTCAGACTGCCTCCCTATTATTAGGGACCAGT